TGGTTGCTCCTTGTTTCCCTCTGATTACCTCACCCTCGCTGCTGCCCCAGCTGTTTACCATCTCGGTTCAGGAGGTGATGATTCAGGATTTTCAATCACTTTCCCTCCTTTCCTGTTATCATCTTTCCATATACACTCCCCGCGTCAGCGCCTCACTCCCGCAACTTTGTCGGTCTTCCACATACTTTCCCACTCTCCAAAAGTTTCCGGCGACTTCTGAGGTGAAGCGGGGTGAGTGATGCCAAGAGCTAACTCCGGGTTATTGCCCAGGAAGGTGCTCGTTGCTGAGCTTTAAGTGATCCTGTTTCACACACTTGTCAGTTCTCCGGGCTGGCAGGTCCTCGCTGCCTCTGAGCTAGCTGCTTATAGGGTTGTCACCAGAGCAGTTAATGTTAATCTAATGCTAATATTAATGTTTGCGAGCATGCTTGAGCTAAGGACACCTGCTTCTGAGGCAGACAAGCCTCCATTAGCGTTGCATACTCATTATTTCGTTAGCTTGGGGTTGGCTGTCCTGCCACCAGCAAGGCAAAGGCGGAGATGAAATTCTTCTCACCTCAAGCTACACAGTAGGGCAGAGGAAAAAGTTAAAACAAAAGCAGAAACACCACTCAATCGTCCGTTCATCCTCTGAGGGAAAATGACCACTGCATCTTCAATCAGTCCTCAATTCGAGTCCCAGTCTAGCAAAGCGTGAACTCAACCGGACCACAAAAAAAAAACACTCTCATCAATTTAATCATCCCCCGTCCACAGATTCCAAGCTAATTATTCCAGCCTTTAATTATTCCATCCGACTGCCGTTGAGATCTCTTAAAGACGGCTGGATTAGTGGATTTGGAGTATTAGCTTGGAGGGTTGGCAGACCTCTGCACTGTGATTCAGGGGGCTGAGAAACGCATCTTCAAAAGGTACCTTGAGCAGCACCTTCACAGGATCATTACACTGGATAAATCCATGTTAAGTTGCTTAAAAGTGTGTAAAGGTGAGCCACGTTTAGGCACAGACACTTTTGAGGGCGGAGGCTAACTAAATGTGACTTAAGCATCGCAACAGTGACACAGTTTAAGCCACTTTGGGAGGAATTGTTTACAAGTTACTTAAAGGGCTTATGTCAGCTTGGGTCAACGTCAAGGCTGGAGCAGAACTTCAGGAGTGAATACTTTTTCACCATATTGACAATCTAAGTTGACAGACTTTACTGTCATGGTGTGTATTCAAAGGAATAATTTAAGCTACAGCTTTTAAATCTAATGATTCAATCGCTCTTTTGTTGTTTCGTCTAATGTAAACCCTCGATCCAGATTTGGCAGGCTTAGGTTCACTCACAGGGCTAAATCCACACCCAAGTTCACCACTATTGAAAATCAATTGCTACTGAGCTACCGAGCGCAAAGTCGTGATGTCTCGACTTGACTGTCAAGTTAAACTATTTTTTGCTCATGCTCGTTAAAGATGCTACCCGTCAGCCCGCTACCCCTCGTTTGAACTCCCTCCCTCTCAAACACCCCCTAGAACTCCAAAATGAGAGCAGCCCGTCCCGCGGCTGACAGCGGAGATGTTTTGAAAGCAGGTCGGGAAAGGTTAGAGCAAGAAACATGGAGCGGGGCAGTGAAAAAGACAAAAAGAATCTTGCTTTTTAATTATTTTATTAGGAGCCTTGATGCTATTAAATGCCCCAGATACATTCACCCTATAGTTCTCAATTAGACTTGACAGTTGCTGCATTACCAACAATAAATATAGCAAAGGGCTGCGCCTTAGGCCAGGAAGGACCCCTAACTATGACCCTCATATTTAATGATGAAAACAAGCAGGCGCACACTCTGCCTTGCTTAAGCACATGCATGTGCACATCCATGCATGGGCATGCGCACACACACGCACACACATCCTCTCTGTGCTGTGGTTCCTTATTACACAAGCACATTAGAGGTCTGTAAAAAACAGTATCTCTAGGGTTTATAAATGCATTACAGATACAAAGGTGTACACCAGAGTGCACCCTTTAACGGCAGAGTGTCATTTTAAACTTGATGAGTAAGGCAGCACAAAAATATGAAGATCACATATTCTACTAAAAATTGTTCCCCTTAAAAATGCAATGCATGAGAGAATCTTTGCTTATAATCCAAAAATATTTTTAGTGTCTGTTTGTGCTGTAGAAGGATGAACTAGCAGCGCCATTCTCTCCATTTCTTGAACATTTTGTTGATATTGATATACTTTGATCATCAGACTCTCTTTTTTGATAAGTCCATCTTTGGGTTGCTTTGCAGTGTTTGCAGTTGTTGCCAATGCTGGAATAACATTTATAGAACAGCCAACAGGAACACCCTCTCTCTGAAATGACCTGTGATTGGCCAAAGTCTCCTGTCACATGCTAGATTTTCTAAAGCCTGAGAACAGAGCCAAGAGAAGATGCAGAATTCTGGTTTTCTACCAGACAACTTGAATGACAATATATAAAAAGGTTATAGATTTTTTTTCTCAATGATGCCCCCACAAAAAAATCAGCCTACCCCTGCTTTAATATGCTAATATTCTAAACACAGATGGTGAACCTAGTAAACATTACAGCTAAACATGTGATGCGATACAATACGATACGATACAATACGGTATGTTACAATACAATATGATATGATGCGATACGGTACGATATACTTTGTCCACGTAGGAAAATTCGTTTTGAACTCAGGAGCTGCACAAGTATTGCTGCCTTGCAATAATAGTCCAGAAGAAATTAAAAACATACACCATAGAAACACAAAACACATCCACGTTACCGCTGGAATTATGAGCATATTACCACGATTGTATATTTATTGTGAATGGGAGCCTGCTCATTCTAATGCTTGCAAAAAGTACTACTACTTACTACTCCACTCCAATACTACTACACTAGCATGGCTGTTGACTCTGCGCCTTATTACTGCCATATCAGAATTATCATAATTACAAGTGTCTAACTTGGAAATAGCGTTAAAATCAACAACCAAGTTGGAATTACCCAAGGAAACTCTTAAAGGTTTAATAATATAGAAGTGCCTGAAGACCAACAAACGTGGACTTCTCATATCAGCCAAAGACCGTAGCTCAGTGTAGTCAAACCTAAATGTAATCCATATGGTGTTATATTGTCAATATAACATCTTCACCATCCATCCCATATGATGTGAATTTGGCTATTACTGGCTTTTTAAATGAAGGGCATCTATATTGTAAGGCCCAATCCCAACGCACCCTATACCCATCCCATTTAGCCCCTACCCCTCTGTTGCACATTCATGTCTAGGGATATGGTGTCCCGATTCTTGTTGAGATGGAGGGGTAGGGCCAAGTATTAGGGCTACATTGCCTAACTAATGGGGGTTATACTTCAAACCAAGTGTTATGAGAAATCATTGGCAAGATGGCTGCACAAGCAACAAAAGAAACCTGCAAATATATTTATTTCGCTAAAAGGTATATAAAAATTACAATAGCTATCATATATAATTTTATTATGGTCCCTTCTCTATAACAAGCATAACAAAAGAAATCACAAGTATGTCTCAAACGCTAACTAGCTAGCTAGCTAACTTTACGTTGTTGTTACTGATTTGGGCATGACAGTCCCATATTTTGACATACTTCCATGTCATATTCCTCCTTTTTTCATGGCATATGATGCCCAAAATTGAACTAAAGTACAGCAGCAAAATTGCTGCACTTGTTACCGCTCCTCTAATATCAGTGCAAACTGGCAGGGTAAGAACGTAAGTTGTGAACACATTGCGAGCGTCCTGACAACAACAAAAGGCTGCCAGTAGCCCATGCAAGAAAAATCACCACAGAAGATGGCATATTCTTTTTGCAATGTCTGCATCTGTTAACGTAAACACCAGCAAAGACAACTACTGATGACGGATCAGGGTCTTGAAGGGTTGTCCCTTTACATGAAAGCCAACAGGAAGTGTGCTGGGCTTTGAAGCTAATTTTTGTAGGACAAATATTGGAATTACAACTTCAGAATACGTCACGTTGTGCCATTAGACCCAATAAGACTTATATTGGGAAAGAGACGTCTGTTAATCAGAGGACACATTCTTTGAGCGTCACAACCCCTGCAGAGCGACTCGTTTCAATATCAGGATTTAATCCATTCAGTCCAATAACATTCGGAAAGTCTAGAGGAGCTGCAAGAATAAATCATTTTATCTCCATTCCAGTTAACAGAGCATTAAACCACAAGTATCCGGCTTGGCCAGTGGAAGTCTCTGGTGTGCTTGCTCTAGGGGCCCATGATGTCGAAGCAGCGCTGATCATCTGGGTAATTTCTTACAGTGGAAATAGATTTTTGGCTACATGTGCCACTGAGCAACTTTCATAGGAATGAACAGGGTCCTGTCTCCAGTGCTGTATCCAGGCTTTTTATTACATCCATGATTTTATAGGGGAAGATTTCAACCACTATCCCTTAAATCTGTTACAAGCGGCAAGGTGGCACTTGAGAACGAGGAGAGGGGTAAAAATAAGAAATGGGATTTGGCCTAAGTCTGGCTGAGCTCACATTTGTGGTTTGAGATGAGATCAAAACAAGTGTCCACTGGCAAAAATGTTTTCAGCGTATGAAACCATTTAGATTTTTTCTTGTTGAAAAAATCTAAATGGTTTCAGCGTATAAAACCATTTAGATTTTTTCAACAAGAAATGGTAAATGGACTGCACTTGTATAGCGCCTTTATAGTCTTCTGACCACTCAAAGCGCTTTTACACATCACATTCGTTTACATGCATACGTGGTGCCACCTGCTACTCAGTAAGCATTCACACGCACTCACACACCAATGGAACAGCCATTGGGAGCAATTTGGGGTTCAGTATCTTGCCGAAGGATACTTTGACATGAGTACTGGAGGAGTGAGGGATCGAACAACCGATCTTCCGATTAGTTGACAACCCGTTCTACCTCTGAGCAAACAAATGGAGACCAAGTACAAAACAGTAACACACAGTCATGGGAAACCGACTTCTTTACTGGATAGAAATTTTGACATAACATTCAGTAACTTACAGTACTGTCAGCCTGTCAGTAGAAGACTTCACAGGGCTTTAAACGGGCAAATGGAACATAAAGACAATTAAAAGGCAAAACTAGTTGTAGATCATTTTAACATCGACAGTGGAGCCAAACTTGACAATCATGAGTCACAAATGAACAGTAAACAAAGATCTTTTGCATCATCCCTACAGCTCTTTGTGATTTACATGTAGCTAATAGTTTACATATTGTTTACATATCAACAGGTATCTTTCACAGCACGGCAGCTCTGGTGGAGTGTTGTGAGCCAACCCCTCTGTGGTTTGACTGCTTGAAGCCTGGCGTCATTGGCACAGTACAATATAACAATACTAGTTATTGTCAGGTCTGACAGACAGATTGTGCAGGCTGTCACACAAAGTTACTGTCAAAGGTTTGGAGAGCCTCTTCAAAATAAAGGCCTATCACTTTGAGCTGGCAACAAGACAAACAATCATATCAACCTTATCACACAGAATTATGTGACATAAACACACTGTTCAGGTTTTTGCTATTTTCACATGATCCTTTAGAGGTGGGGGAACCTAATCGTCACATCCCTTAGTTGTGAATACCATTTCAAAGTGTGTGCTCATTTTAGAAATTTGGTGAGAGTTTTGTTGTATAAGGTTTTTGTTGCAGTGTCTGGCATCTTCATCTGAACTTGTACACCAAAGTGGCTTCTCACTAATCTCACTATAACTAAATAAAAACTGACTGTTCTGAGAGGCAACCATTTCAAGGTCAAACAGTGTGGAATTCACAGAGTCTGTGTGCAATGAGCACGCCATCATTCTCACTGTACCGTTACAGTACAGCACATTTCACAAATATAAGTCTGTGCATACTCATATACAGGTACACAACAGCATACACAGACACACACTCACATACACACTCCCACAGGCAACTCTCCAGGCATGTCATTAAGCTAGAGAGTACTAGAGTTTCCCGTTGGCAAAGGCTCCCTCTTGGAACTGAGGGATGAAACTCTTGAAGTACGCCCTGGGTGAGAGAGAGGGGGGGGGGGGGGGGGGGGGGGGGGGGGGGGGGGGGAGAGAGGGGAGAGAGAGGGGGGGAGGGGGCAGAGAGAGAGAGAGTACAGCAAATAAAACATCAAAATGTGACAATAATTGTGATTCAACTGCTTCAAAGCATCGACCAAATTCACTGGGTCAGTCCCAGCCCCAGCGTGTATCAAAGTGCAGATGAAAGACAGAATGTGTTTACTTGTTACAATTACAACTGTGCATGAGATATCTACTCTCTATGTGAAAACACTTTTGAGGGAAACACAGGAGACACAACTCAACTGCAAGTACAAAAATCAAACGGCATAAAAAAACAGAGCAGTCCGCAAGGTATTTAGCCACAGGTGGTGTGTGCAGGTTTGTGTGTGTATGTGTGTTTGTGTCAGGTTAGACTTCAAGAAAATAGTTCAACATTTTGGGAAATTATTCCTCTTGCAGAGAGTGAGAAGGGGAGATTGATACCACTCTCGTATCTGTTGGTTAGCTTAGCTTAGTATCAAGACTGGAAGTACGGGGAAACAGCTAACCTGACTCTGTCCAAAGTAGGGCTGCACAATTAATCCAAATATTATCGAAATCGCAAATCGCATGGCCAAGTGTAAAATCCAAATCACAGGAGCTGCAGTCTTTTAATGAAGGTAAGATTTGTTACAACCTACCATCATAAATGAAGCACTGTGGTGCTACAGAGATGCCACAGCCAACAATTCATATTATATATAAGGGAACATGCAGGTTTTGGTACAGACCCCAGCAAAAACCACATCGCCTTCATTTTTACATTTTAAAATCATTCACAAAACTTTAAAGACTGAGGCCGACTAGACCAAATGATCAGCTTTCCATATGGTGGGGGCTTTCCTTCTTATTTACTACTCAAAGATCTGCATCTGATTTTTACTCAAGGTCAGAGCTCTGGGATGACTGGCGTTACTGAGCTCACTATAAAATTTTATTCAAGTTTAAGACCGTCAAGATAGTCAAGTAATGGTTTGCAAAGACTCACCCTACTCTGCCTATCTGCACTGGAAGGCTACTCATTGTTGCAATAAACATCACATCTCTTGTGATTGGGCAGTACCAAACTAAGGCAGACAGGCCTTAGACAGTTATTATTTCATATTCTTACAACTGTGTTTGCACTAGTTGTGAAAACTGCCTAATACAGTGAGAGAAAAGGGACACATTCTCTGACTGCAATTTAGGAGCTGCGAATTCTCAGCTGTAACATTAATGCAGGAAATTGGCAGCAACAACAAACGACACTCAAGCAGTTAACTTCCTCATGACAATGATGCTAACGATAGGGAAATAAACCACATTAAAAGCATATTCATTCGGGGACTGCTATGAATGATCTTAAGCTACACTGTATTCATAATCACTTACAATTTATTGATCTATTGGGAAATTTATTTGTTACACTTCATAACAGTGTATTCAAAACACAAGGTATGAGCCAGATTGACTTGCCGTTCAGTCTGGGTGTGTGCCTTGGTCCAGACTTTGACAAGTCCTATCATACAGCAAGCAACAGCAATATCAAGCTCCTAAACAGCTATCAAAGGCTTTTCAAGCCTTATATAATACTAGTCCATACACATTGAGTGGACAGTTGCCCACATACAGTTTCACATGGTGTGTGTTTGGGATACAGGTCATAGGAAATTGCAGATTAAATAGTCAACTGAACCCATTAAGAAGAGCAATGTATTCAGACAGAGTTTTTGTGAATTTGATAGTACGATTGCAGCCACAGCGATCAGTTGCATTTTAGCCATTTTTTTGTTGTTATAGCGCCACCCAGTTGCCAGTTAGAGTTAAATTTCTCCAGTCACCTTGAGGCGTCCTGTTCTACATATCTACCAAGTTTAGTAAAAATCGATATAGTGGTTCGGCCTAGATAAGAAATTAGCTCTCTAGCGCCCCCATTTTGTTTGATGGGGTCAATAATGGAGGGGTCCCCTCAGATTATGTGTGGTCATGTGCCTACAAAGTTGCGTGGTGATCGGTGAAACCCTTGAGATGTTATACACCTTTATGTGATGAGCCACACCCTCTGCAATATTCATTGCCTTATAGAAGCTCAGTTTTAGTAAGTTTTCCAACTTTTGCCAAGAGGGAACTTTAGATATTGGTCCCTAGATTATGTTCACCGAGTTTCATGCAGATCGGTCAAACTTCCTAGGAAGAGATCGATTTGAAGTGTTTTTCCAAAAATTCAAAATGGCGGAAAATCTATATAACTGGAAGTTATGGGTTCTTGAGGCAAATTTGTTCCTCATGAGGAGAGGCATCTCTGTGCAAAGTTTCATGTCTCTACGACATACGGGGCATGAGATATGCCCATTCAAAGTTTGCAATTTCAATCGGTTGCTATGGCGCCCCCCTTTGGCCAATTGATGTAATATTGCTTCATTGGCATCCTCCCATGACCCTCTACCACTGTGCCAAATTTCACATGGATTGACCAAGTCAGTGAGGAGAAAAACGTGGAACAGACACACAGACACACCCAAAGACAGAGTTTTCGTCATTATATGGTAAGATCTGCTCAACTCTGTTACAATATGATCACGCTTTATATGAAACAATGAGTATTATGTTTCTTATTACTGTAGATTAATAGATAGTTTTTTGGTTGGCTAACTGAACAGCTAGCCATCTGATTGCCCTGTGAGTAAATCCCTATATGGTTAGCAAAATAGCAAATCCAGGGGGCTAATTTTACTATTTGGGACTCAGAGACAAGAGTTTGACATTATTTGAACTTAAGGCTCAGAAACAAGCATTTTTAAAGGGTTGCTTAGGTTTATTTGGAAGGCTTAAGAAGGTTTGTGCTGCTTGCCCTGATATACATTGTTCTGCTGAAGACGTTTTTCAGAAACCTCTCAAATGGTGTTGGTGACGGCAAAGTTAGCCTGACCCAAAGTCAGAACACCTACAAATATGAGAATAAGACCCAGGTTGAATAATACCAGATTTTCCTTTCAACAATATTTGCTGAGCTAAACCTCTTGTAGTCAAATCCAGGAGCCAACAGATGGTAATCCAAACAGGTCTGCAGATTTTTTGAGTGGAGACATTAAGATGTATTAATGAGAACAAATGAGTCGAGAAAGAAATACACAGATAACCTTAGAGCAAAACAGATTTTGCATTGCCTCCTGCACCTCCTGTAGTCACTGATATCTTTCAGATATTTACAGCATTTATTAACCTTGGCCATGCAAAAAGCAAACACTGCTCGGGCTGTGGCCGACGCCTATAGATTTACTCTTATGGGGTCATACCAGTTTATGTTTATAGAGGGTGGAATCAAATCTGTGAATATCAACAAATGGCCTGTGTGTGGTGCATTACCAACAATAGGGTCCTATTGTAATAAATATCTGATGCAGATCATGATAAATGACTTTGTGTTTCACATGGCTTTGCAGTCTTGGGAGAATAGAATAGTCCTTAGATGCACTTGACTTTGTGGAGAACAGAGTATCTCAAGACCTTTTATATTTAGGTAGATGTCCGCTGTATTTCGTTTTACCTCTCTATTTACAAAGAGTGTTAAATGGCTTTTAGCATTTAAAGACATATTCAAATCAAATTGTATAATTTCCAAACTGCAGAGGTTCAGATAAGGCAGAATCTACTCACTTGGCCCTCTTTGCCATCTCATTGCCGTCCCAGCGTGGGCTGTAGGGATACGACTTCTGCACCTGAGAATAGAGCTGGCCGCTGTTGGTGAAGTGGTACACAGACTGGAAGGTGAGGGTGGGCTGGTCCCTTGGAAAGTACAGAGGGAGATCCACTACAAAGAGCCCAGGGACGAAAGGAGAGAAATGTACAGAAGCAGAAGGAGAAAAAGAGGATCATAAGGTAACAGCATCAGATGTGATCCAGGCAGATCAGAAACAGACTCCACTATTATTGTGTGTGTGTTCTGTGACTTTCCTACCATGTACAAGAAAGCAAAAGTCCTTCCACATTAGTAGGAGAGTGAGTTTGGTGAATCCCTCAGCATCATACTCCACCACGCCCCTGCAATACACACACTCATTTCTGCAAAGTCTCGCTGGGTCTTATTTTGCTCCAAAAGTACTTTCTCGTTAAAAGACAAAGACGGTGATAAATGAGTGATAGCTGAACACATGCTGTGATCACTTCAGTGGAGGATGTGGTCCTCTGTAGTTGACTCACATTCCAAAGTGGCTGAGGAAGGCAGCGATGTACTCTCTCCTCTTGTGATAGCCTTGGATGACATACTGCACCTACAGAGAACAAAGTGAAGAATTTAGTGCATGCAATCAGGGATTAGCAAAAGTCAAGTCGGGGGGGGGGGGGCCTATTCCAGTTGACATTAGGCGAGAGGTAGGGTACACCCTGGGCAGGTCGCCAGACTATCACAGGGCTAATACATAGAGACAGACAACCATTCACACCTACTGACAATTCAGAGTCACCAGTTAACCTGCATGTCTTTGGACTGTGGGAGGAAGCTGGAGTACCCAAAGAAAACCCACACTGACACAGGGAGAACATGCAGAAGGGCAGAAGGGCTCCCTCCTGGGATCAAAACAGAAACCCTCTTGCTGTGAGTCGACACTGTAAACCACTACACCACTGTGCCGCCCTATAATTGTGTCATTTACTGCAAATCCAGTTTTCTGTCATAAGTTATTAAGAGAGTGAACCTATGATGAATAATCAGGCTGGTTCCAAATCAGCTCATTACCATTTCACTATTATGGAAAAAAGATGAAACTATGACTTGTCACTATTATCATGCATTTAGGGAGTTTTAGAATTACCGATTGTACATCATGCAAAGGACTAAATTATCATACAAATATCATAATTACTGAACATTTGGCAACCAGGGCTGGGTATCCTTTATGATACCCGTGCTGATACCAGTACCCTTTAAGAGATAACACTACCAATAGGGTACTTCATTTGATATCCATAATGTGAATGCAGCGGCGTGTAGCATAGCCATAGTCTCTAATGTTCTGATGGCATCTCGGACTTCCAACTCTGTCAATTACACCACGTCCAACTTCATCACACCACAGACTGTATTGGTTGTAGCTGCTGCTGCAAGAGTGTGAGCTCAACACCAGGGAGGGTTGTCAGAGTCCACCTGGCAACACACACAGTGACAGGGCTAACTGTTAGCATCACATGGCTAACTTTACTGGTTATTACTGGTTACCGGTTTAACAGTTATTAACAGGTTTAATGACAGAGTCGAGCCCTTTTGGACTGACTTTGTTGGGACCTCATACTGGAAAGAGAGCAGCTCTGGAGATGGCAGCAAGAGAAAGCTTGCTGATCCCGTGGGAATTTGGGACAGAATGGGATCAGACCATCTGCGCATTAAGTATCAAATGCAGGTATCGTTTGACAGGAGACATTTCAATACTACTTGGTACTCGGTTATTTTGGTCGATACCTTAAACCAAGCTCTACTGGCAACACTGGGTCACTCCCTTAAAGGAAAAGTAGCCACTCAGAGGGACAATGGATTCGTCTGTAGGCTCTTACCATGCATTTCAGCAATCAGTCTATAAGGGACAGTATAATGTCCTAGACTCCACTGCTTTTGCTGTCTTGTAAAAAACACGATATTGTCCTGTATGAAGGTAATTATTTACACTAAAAAAAAAAAATCTATTTTGCTATTGGCACTTGACATCAAACCACAAAGATAAATAATGCAGTTCATTAAATCATATATATTTGCGAGCATCTGGCACAACAAATTATTAAAGATTTTTAAGAATTTCAAAAATGATTTCATTAGTAGAAATCCAATAAAATCATCAACAAACAGGGAGATGGCTTGCACAGTGGATATTATGATTGCATGATTGTAGGTCTTAGACCTCCAGCCCGAAAGAAGATCCTTGCAGCAACAGCATTTTCTGCATTCCTTGTTTAATGAACAAGAACAATGTTTTCAATTTCATCAACTGCATCCCCCCCGTCTTCCCCTCAGCACATGTCCTCTCCTGTCCACATGGTTTCAGGGTCTATCTTGCCCTGAATTAACCCTTTACAGGCAGTATTAACTCTCAGTCTGTGTGCAGCCTGAGAGGAAATGCTGGTAGCACTGTACACACTACTGTAGCGGAGAGGCTCTCTAAGCCAATCCACCCAGAATGTAAACAATGCCTCGGCCTGTGGAGAGATTACGAGAGGTGAACTTTTTAATGGTTGCTTTCACTTTAAAACCAGACGGCTCAGAGCACAAAAGTGGCATTACATGCAATCTTTGTACAGGCAAATTTAAATGTCACAGTACAAAGTACAAAGTCTTTAGCTTACCGCTTGACAGCCAAATAAGCTGGTGTTAAAAGCTCTACCATAGAGTCTGTCAAATGCAACAAGAAAAGACTGTCTGCTCAAGGTACTGTGTTAATTTTAATACAATTTCTCCATTTCAGTCAACATTTTTATGTGGAGCCTCTACATCCAGTTCTTACAAAAAATAAAATACAGTAATTTCAGGTTTTTGTTTATCTCATGAGCTACAAGCATGCTTAACAACCTTGTTCACCACATAAGAAAAGGAGAAACATGCTGTAGTGCTTGTTTAAATGTAGGTTGTCTTTGTAGTACACAGTGTGTAACACCCTAAAGCAAGGCATCATGAACATACTCAACACAGAAAAGCCCCAGCTGGCCTTCTTGCTGAGAGGCGACAGGTTTTCAGAACTATAAGAGCATACATATAAAGCACCGGTGAGTGAGTGAGTTGGATTTTTGACAGGTGACATTAAAAATTCACAATAAAATCCCCCAAAACTACTAAAATACAAAACACAACCAATTACTCCACATACACTTTCCAACACACACACACACACACACACACACACACACACACACATACATAAGAACAGGTTCTGAGCATGTCTTTAGCACGTGTTGACAGGTGTGATGAACTATTATCTTTAAGTCCAAAGAGGAGAAGCTGAGAGCTCGCTTGACTGCTGAGCATCCTGGGCAGGTGAGAAAGCCTGCAGTCAGCCAGCCAGCCATGAAGGTGACCTGCTCCATTCACTTTGCAAGACTAAGCCTTTGCAGGATGGTTATACATCACTGCACCTGGGCCCTGCTGGCAAAGCTCAGATTACTGTACAACACCAAAAACACGTGCAGCAGAATTCCCTCAGTCTTCAAATTAGATATTTGATCCAAGGGGTATGAACAAAATGGAGCCATATAAAACTACACCAGTGTGAATACTGTTAAATTATACATAGAGTCGGGTTATGATTGACGATTGCATTATGGATCTGGTTTAAAAACATTATCAGTGGCAGATTATACTGTATCAGCTGAGGCTACTAAACGTAAATTAGGTAGTGGTGTTGGATATGGTACTTATGTGTAGTCAGTGTATTACATACAGTAGTTGTCAGTCGGCTCACCCCCAGTTTGGAGAAGCGGCAGCAGTGCCGACACGCAAGCTAGTCAATGTACTGCTGTAGACGGGTCAGCAACAAATTTTTTAGCCACTTAAAAAAAAATCAATATCAGTTTAAGTGTGTGTCGTATTGAAAACATTTTCATCTCTTTACCTCGCCACAGACAGTTCCTCATCTATGCTTTTGTCACAGCCACCCGACTCCATTGAGAAAAACAGTCATTTTAGCTAGCTCAAAACAGGAGCTGTGTTTAGCGTGGTCTACTGCTCCTTACATAAGTTTGTGTTGTTGTGTGACTTTTGGGAATCCAAACCAACCACTGAAAACACCAAAAATGGACAACAACACAAACTAACTGAGTGATCAAGGCAGCGGTAGACCAGCAGCTACTGTCTTCAGAGATGTTAAATCATTATTTTTCTCAATTGAGTCTGGCTTTGAAGTGAGCCATATAACGACTTCTGTTCCTTATCAGATATCACTGTTTGGCATAAAGGTAAAGAGGTGGAAATATTTTAAATATTTCATATACATTACAATACGATAGTGCATTGCTAAGCTTCAGTGTCAGTACTCCTGCCTGCCTCTCCAAACTGGGGGTGTGACTGACATCTACTGTATGTAATACACTGATTATGGATAAGTAGTCAATAATTTTAATAAACCTTAACCTAAGTTATACATTAATTTGCATTGCAATTAACTTTAAAATGGACTGAACAGTATGCCTCAGAATTAGTGAGGAACTCACAGGAGAACTCACATTAAGATATTCTAATTATCTTTCCAACATTAGATGGTAATATAGAGTACTAGGGGCATGGTGTCATTAGAAATTAAGACGGTTTATTGAGACAGCTTATTTTAAGTACTAGTTCACTTTATTTTAGAAACATAACTGTAACTTTCAGGGGAAAAAGAAGAGATTATCACACAGCCAAGGCCACATATTTAAGAAGTGAGACAATTAGTAAGACTGTTATGTAGTGACTAAATGATCAAAACAGAAGATGCGTCAGGAACGGTCTGACTCATCTTCTGAAATGGCAATGATCGATCACGTTGGAAGCTGACTTTGCAGTATTTAACTGCAGTAAGAAAATACCTTCTTTACAAGGAAAAAAAACAGTAGAACGCTGAGTGAACTGCTCCATCGGTCACAATGAGGTGGTGATATGTGTTGTTAAACCAGCCGGTTTATCTTAGTCTGGATTATTAAAGTGCTGTATGTAACTCTGGAGAAAGAGTGATAGGAATAGTGAACATTGTTAGGTGATTGTTGAGTCTCATTCCCAGGTCGTTCAGTGCAAATACTACCTGGGAATAAGACTCAGCAATATATATCTCCAATATAGACTGCATCAGGATGAGGTTTGTTTAAGGTTATTCGACAACCACACTTATATTTTAAGCCCTGTTTCCACCGAGCAGTACGATACCATTCAGTTCAGCTAATTGTGCTTTTTCCCCCGTTTCCACTGTAAAAAGTTGTGGATGGTACCAATAGAACTATTCCATACCACTACCATTTTTGTCACCCCTCTGTTGGGGTACTTAGCACACAGATATGGTACTAAAAGGTGGAGCTGTGAACACTGCAGTCCGTTGATTGGTCAATAGAGGACTTTCACTTGGGTGCGGAGCATCCTTCCTGTGGGCTCCGGCAACACTAAACCCCTGAGTTTGCTTGAAAAGGACTAAATGCACAAACATCAAACATCTCATGGAGAGAGACTCTCACTGCAGCCTCTTTTATTTTGTTTTGAAACTGTCAGCGTGTAACCCCACTTTGTGGCTGATTAAGGAGGTGCAGACTTCCCTCTGTGTCACTGGTG